GATTAGGATTAAGTATTTCAGGTTTTTCTCTTATAAAAAGTGGGGTCATAGTGGTACCATAGGCAATAGCAAGATTTTACGTCCAGTATATACATCAGTTTATTCAATAAGTGAGATAACAACGCGTGATTGGAATTAACAAATTATGATTTTGAACTGGATATCGAATCATTTATTTTACATAACATAGTGCAGTATTAAGTATTAAATCTCACGTCTGACTATAATAAGGTTTTACTGTTGATAATATGTTAGTGGTTGCATTATTGACTTATTAAAGTTATACTTTCAGAGAAACGAGGCCTGTATAGTGCATACATCCAGAAGCAGTCAGAACAACGAACCACTAAAAAATTACCTTGATATCGCCCTAAATTACTTCCATCTATGAGGTTAATATTTCATTTATCAAAGGTTCAGTCTCAATCTTTTTAGACCACGCAATTTAATGTTATTTCGTAAATTAAATGTTCATGCTTATTATCATACTGTTACTATCATAAGAAGTACTTCAAATACTGTAACATAAACTAAATTTACCACCATATGCATAGGCTTTTTACAACTTGACTGAATAATCGATATCTTCATGTTTCAGAGCAGTTGGTGGTTACAATTTTACTCGTACTAGTCAATTTTGAAGATTTTGAAGCTGCGAACGACAGCAGACAGGAAACCACTGCACAGGGAGTTCTGACAATCATTTCGAAATCTTTTATGATTTAACTTTCTTTGCAATAATCTCTCTTATTCAATGATCACGAATTTAAACGATGTTTCTGTTTTAAAACAACAAATTTTTAAATTTATAGATTCTAGCAATCTAGTAGTGATAAATAATTTTCAATCCCCAGGAAATTTCTCGAAGAACCAAGACACGGATGTGTGCACATCAGTCGAAATGCACCGGTCGAATTTTTAGTTTGTCCTTAAAGCGATTTGTCCATTAGAGCGATTCGAATGAGGAGACAGTTTTCTCCCACAAAAAGTTGTGATAAAAAATATCTTTCATTTATTCATCACTTTTAAATCAATATATTATTATCTGGACGAACTAAAAACGGGAGAAAAAAGTTGGACGCTTGTTTCCATGAAAATTTTGACCGGTGCATTTCGACTGATGTGCACATAACCGCGTGAGACGAATGACAAAAAGTTTACTAGTGGGTGGAAAGTAACACACACCTCAGGAAGGTAAATATAATAATTTAAATGAGACAACAACAATCGACTAAGATCAACAAAGAATTATATTCGTCAGGATCCAATCAAACATTTAACTTGATTAGCCAGATAATGATCAACTAATATTAAAGTCACTATTGTGACGGTACATTAGACTTGTTATAGACTCAGTATCATTATTTATTATTTCAGAGAAGCAGCCAGCATGTTGGCAGGCAAGATAAATTGAGAGAACTCATTATAGATGAACCATTTCCTTATCTTCTCCGTGATCAGGTCATTGAAATGAATAATATCATGTTTTCTAATGAGTCGGACTCGTACTTCTAGTACAATAATTGTAAATTTCATCTGGCCTGATATTTCTGTTATTTTACTGTATTATGATAATATGTAAATATATGATCCACAATGACAACTTCTCCTTTTAGTTTTACGGTTGAAGTCAGTAGTGAACGGTACCCAAACTGAACCGCGGGAAAACAGCTCTATCTTTTCGAGTACCGACACGGTTTTAACGTAAGTTTGCACTTTAGAGATATATCTGATCATTATCTTGATAATTGTATGTAACAACAAAACATCGAAAGAAAAACAATGCAAAAATCATTGCAAATCTTTTCTTATAAATAGTATTGGTAATGATAACTGATTATTTCAGAATTCAGACCAGTAAGATGGGGCGGACGACGATAAAATGTTTGAGTAACAGTAACAACCTCGTAAAGTAAACCAACTAAACAAATTGAAACCTTGAAGTAGGTGAGTAATGAGTTATTAACCAAATAAACTATTTAATGTAAAATCCGGATTGGAAGTATTCGTTATATATAGTTGAAAGTATTAAAATACCCAAGAAAAAAATCTATTTAATGGCCGTTCGCGTTTCTCGCAACATTTTGAGATTTAAGTGATTTAGCTACAAAAGTATGTATTATGTAAGTAGCAAGATAGTGACTTAATATTTCAACCTTTGCCTCAGAGCAGCTGTTGGAGAGCTAAGACAGAGTTCGAACAATCAGACCATCTCAAATCCTTATCTCACTAATTAGCCTCAGCTTTAAAAGAAAAAGATTCATTCAATCTAAGTGAGTTATGAAACATAATGACGTAAGGGAAAGTGAACTCCTATGTCTGATATAATTATATATCATGAATTCTAATTACGTATGTTTTAACATGTTTCATTGAACCCAGGATTTAATATTTTACTCTACCGTTAAAAATATACGACTTGAATTTGAATTTTTCAGAGCCTCTGCAGGAGACAATATGATCATAATCATATCTGAAACTATGAGCAGACACAAATCTCACTATCCCAGCCATCTCAGAAGGAAACTAAGAACAAATCACACTATCCCAGCCATCTCAGAAGGAAACTAGGAACAAATCTCACTATCCCAGCCATCTCAGAAGGAAACTAGGAACAAGTCTCACTATCCCAGCCATCTCAGAAGGAAACTAGGAACAAGTCTCACTATCCCAGCCATCTCAGAAGGAAACTAGGAACAAATCTCACTATCCCAACCATCTCAGAAGGAAACTAGGAACAAATCTCACTATCCCAACCATCTCAGAAGGAAACTAGGAACAAATCTCACTATCCCAGCCATCTCAGAAGGAAACTAGGAACAAATCTCACTGTCCCAGCCATCTCAGAAGGAAACTAGGAACAAATCTCACTATCCCAGCCATCTCAGAAGGAAACTAGGAACAAGTCTCACTATCCCAGCCATCTCAGAAGGAAACTAGGAACAAATCTCACTATCCCAGCCATCTCAGAAGGAAACCAGGAACAAATCTCACTATCCCAGCCATCTCAGAAGGAAACTAGGAACAAGTCTCACTATCCCAGCCATCTCAGAAGGAAACTAGGAGCAAATCTCACTGTCCCAGCCATCTCAGAAGGAAACTAGGAACATATCTCACTATCCCAGCCATCTCAGAAGGAAACTAGGAACAAGTCTCACTATCCCAGCCATCTCAGAAGGAAACTAGGAACAAGTCTCACTATCCCAGCCATCTCAGAAGGAAACTAGGAACAAATCTCACTATCCCAGCCATCTCAGAAGGAAACTAGGAACAAATCTCACTATCCCAGCCATCTCAGAAGGAAACCAGGAACAAATCTCATTATCCCAGCCATCTCAGAAGGAAACTAGGAACAGACACAAATCTCACTATCCTAGCCATCTCAGAAGGAAACTAGGAACAGACACAAATCTCACTATCCCAGCCAAAGACGGTAGGCGATCGGAACCATCAAAAACAGTAAACATTTCAACACTAACATATAATTTATATAAATATCGTGATGTATTATAAAAACCGTTGGACTATCTGCGAAATCTATTCTTTCAATTATGATGCTCCTGATATTAAGTATGCCTCTTACTACACAGTGTAGAACGAATAAATTGAAGTCGAATGCAAAGTAAAAATTTGATTAGAATCCGTATATCTAAATGTTTTCAAGCTTCGGTTTTACAGTTAAAAAAGTATATTTTTCACGTCCATTTAAATGTTGAATAAATTTTTGAGCATCAGTTAAAATTTACCGATATCTGATATTTAATCTAATGTTTACAAATTGTAGTTCATGGAAATGAATATTTGTGTTAATGTTTTGCTCCTTTGAAGAGAGAATTTAGAGACTTTTTCTATTGAGTAATGTATTCTATATTTCTAATGAATCCTCTGACATAGGCATCGTTTTAAAATTTTGTAATGTTTAATTACCCCAATTAGTTAATTATTTATGAACGGAACCTTTGCGTCATATGATTGTGTTTCAATTCATACCAACAGCATGACTTTGTGAGACTGAGCCAGGGAACAGCTTTCTAACTTTAAACCAAACCATTTGCCGTTTAGGCTAACTGAAACAGCTTTCCCAGGAAGGAGCTTATTTTAGTTCAAGAATTGGAAACTGTTATGAAAGCTGAGGGAAAATTGTTCAATTATCGAACCAAACGTGTCTAGAAAATTGTGAGTTCCTAACTCAAAGCATTCTCATAGTATGAAGACAACATAGACAACATAACAGTGAAAAAGAGGGAGTGTCGTGCCACATCTACTTTAATCTCTAAAATTTTACGAAACTTTCAGAAAATCTAAGATGGTCCATATCTATAATAATTTCTAGCATTTTGGTGCAATTCTAACACGAATTACGTGAATGTTGCGTGAGGGCACTGGGCAGTTACTAATTACTTCTGGGCCAACCTGTATGAATTCGATAAAACAACACCTGTTCACTTCACGACAAAGGTTAATACAACGAATATTTGATTTTCTAACCGGAATATTTGTCGTCCCGGTCGTCGTCCTCATTGTCCGGGTCGTTGTCCAGATCGTCCCACTGATCATCCCCCCACTCCTCATCCAGGAACTCTCCTTCTTCCTCCCCGTTATCTTTACTCAGATCAACTGTTGAGAAGAAGAGTATTATAAAACGTTATGGGTGTCAGGATTGTGGGATTATACAGGCATAATTTTGTAATTTCATTATGAATAGACAGTAATAATATAATAATAATGATATAATAATAAACAGTAATGCAACGTACCAGCGTTAACGTGCCCGGTATCCAGTGAGTCGAGGTAAGAAGGGGTGTCATTCAAATTAGATTCTTCGCTCTTTCTTTCTGAGTCTGACATAAGTCTGTCTAGCAAAATCTTTTACTTTAAAGCTGTTTGATTATCCAGCATCCTCTTTAAATGTTAGTGCGTCACAAGTAAGTACAACAAGAAGAATAATATAATTATGTTTTAAAGAAGTTTTATTTTGAACAGTCATTGACCAAACATCATTTCAAAAAGTATGGTGTAAAAAATTGATTTCCAGGGATAGATGCACGAAAAAAGCTAAAACTGGTTCTCATATGACAGATCAAAATAAAAAAGTACATAATAATTTACACACAACAAATTAAACCCTAAAGATCAGTTATTGAACTATTGATGTCCCCCTGAGATTTTTGATAACCACTCTCCCTCCACATGACGTATAAAGTTGCTGACACCATTAAAAACACAGATATTATCACGTTGTTCCGGAAACTAGGATTCTTTGCGCTCACACTGTGCCAGTAAATATTATATTCATGGGACATCAGCTTACTTTCCACCACAACAGCTGGTAGGTCAGGGGAGTCCTTTTTAAAAACTTCTACTGATTTTGATTTGGACTTTCTCCATTTAGCGAGGCCGTATCTAAATGATTTGGATGCCCCCGCAGTGAAGAATCCTTTGATTGTCTGGTTAATTGAGGGTATGAACATTACCTTTTTCAGTTGTTCTTCGGGATAGCGATAGTCTCCCGCAGCGACTTTCTGAAGAGCTGGTGTTTCGTTTCTAGTCTATCATCAAATTTAAAGACACGAGTTTTTGGATGCGAGCCATCTTCCGGCACATGCAGCAGTTTAGCGGGGATAAGGTTTTCTAAAGCTCGGAGATTTTTATCCGTTCTAGGAGCCTGGCAGTATCCGTAATCAGTTCTCTCAACAAACGGCGAATCGTTTATCACAGATTCGTACAGGTTTTTGAAGTGCTCGATATTAGGTTCCACAATATTCCGAACCTTATTAAGATTCTCCAGCTTTAGTTTGGACCTGACATCCCCGCAGTATGAGATGTTGCAGATGACGGTGAAGAGTTGGATGTCGTTGAACACCTCCGGTAGAAACATCAGAGCTGTGTGAAGGGCTGATCTGAGAGGGTTTGAAGTCAGATCAGATCACGATTAATAATTCTGTGCGTATGTAATTATAATATATCACCAGTTCTAATTATAGCAAAAAATCAAGAGTAAAATTCGATTATATTAATTTATTTAGCCCTCATTTGTATCTAGCTCTAGAAACATGTTTAGAAACATGTTTAATACGCCGGGCTGCGCATCTTCTACTTTTGATGCACAAAAATGTGGATGACGTTACAAAGAAACGAGAATAGTAAGGCAGCCTTCTAAGTAATATAAAGTCAACCACCCCTCCTTGCTCGGTGAAGTTAACTAACCTCAGGTTGCGAGTGATGTAGGAGCCTCTGAATTGAGGATGTTGGTATAAAACCAGCACAGGTTTGTGGAGCCTCCCTGCAACGTACAAGGTGTCCCAGGTCTGCAAATCTGAAATTTCAGGGGTATTGGAGAACTCTCTGCATATTATTTAGTAAACTTATATTTTTACATTTCAGGGGTATTGGAGAACTCTCTGCATATTATTTAGTAAACTTATATTTTTACATTCAGTTTATGTGCCGAAGAAAGTATCTAGGATGGGTACGAACATAACGCAAACTAAAATTAAAATCTAATTTCATTGTAATATAATCCAACTATGAGGGTAAATGGAAATGAGCAGACTGCTAACTGACCCTTCAAGAGATGAGTTTCAGAGATGATCCCATACTTGAGAAGGACCCCATCAATCTCTACATACGGGTTAAAGAAACAATAAGGACGTATATCTTGTACAAAAGCCACCCCGCTAGGCCCTATTAACCGCATAGGTAAGGAGTAATGGTGCTTATTGTTCCTAAAGTTCTCCTTGTGCCATGCTGCAGGATCCTCTGCTACGAATATAAGATCTGTCATAGTCGCCGCAGTCGGGAGGTTTTCAAGCTGGTGCAGGACTTTAGAGCCGTAAGCAAAACACATGCGTGACCTCGGAAAACTGGATGTGACGAGATTCTGAAGTTTGGGGTTTGAAAGATGGGGCGAGTCATTCTTCAATGGTTTAGGAGGTGAAGTTTTAGCAGGAGTTGAAGTTTTAGCAGGAGTTGAAGTTTTAGCAGGTGTTGAAGTTTTAGCAGGTGTTGAAGTTTTAGCAGGAGTTGAAGTTTTAGCAGGAGTTGAGGAGAGAGTTGAGTTTACAGCGGTGTGGGTGTGTCTGCAGGTGGTGGTGAGCTGTTTCAGCGCACTTCTTGAGTATCCTCTGCATATTCCATACATAGAGCTACAAGCTAGACGTGTGATTGTTACTTTGTGAGATCACATAATTTGAAACATATTTATAATATGTTAATTGTTAATATTATGTTAATATCATGTGAAAGATAAGATTTAAAATTAAAGTACTTTATTGTTGAGCAGAATTCGTAAACAAATGCGATTGAAAATTAATTTTAAGTTAAATATTCAATAAAAAGACAGTCATTATAGAGTAAAACTAAAACAGGCAGAGGAATGAATATGGCATAGATTGAATTTTAAGTCAGAATAAATTACCCAAAAACCGCAATCGATCAGGAAAGTACAGCCTAAAAATCTCTGAACTGAAGAATATAAAAACCAGATGTTTCATTTAAAAAGTTTGTTATTCAGTTATTTTAACTCTTTTCTTAGCTCCAGCAGTTTCCATCTCCATTTCCATCTCGTAGTCCTCAATATCTTCCAAATCGCTTTCGTCGAAATCTTCAACGTATTCAGATTCTCCCTCCTCTTCTTCTTCCTCCTGAGTCAAAGTAAATGTGTTATTACGTATGGCGCTGGCACTGCAAATTTATGATAGGACTATATATTCAAATAGTTAAAGGACCAGTTAACTGAAAAATTTGTAGTCTCCAATTTGGCTAAGATTTAAATCAGCTGTGACAAACTGGTAAAAAATTGTATCGCCGAAAGAACCAACTCTCTAGCTTACGTGTAACGCGTGTTATTGCAATAATAAGCTGTGGCCGCGTGACGTCATAAAGTCCCTCAGTGCGCGCTGGCATAGCGTAATACAATGCACAAATGTTTATCATCGTCAATAAAACACGTGTAACTCACTCAAATTTTAGAGTTATGACTATTTCCCTAGTTCTCCAAAATCCTTATAGTTTTGGCTATCACCCTAACTATATGAATAGCTGATTGGATGTACAGTGCTCACGTCAGGATTTTAAACAGTGACATAAGTTCTTGAACAGTGGCGGGTGAATGTACGGTTAGAAAGTTTCTGCTATTACAAGTTATGTCATATGTGATAATTTTGGATTGTTTTCATTGCTTCATTAAAACGAAGGGAGACTGTACCGATTATTTTTCCCCAGTCCATGAAACTAATACACAAAATAATGTGCTATATATTAAATATAGCTGATCAGAGTGTAACTCTGTAATATAATATTACAGTTGTTCGGAAGAATGCGAGCAGTCAAATGGTTCGCTATCCTAAAAGACATAGTTCCGAGAGCAATTATATTTTTAGCATAGCGAAATTTCTTACTTTAATCCACACGTGCCAGACAGTACAGGAGACATGAAGTCTGGCTATTTTACGGCCGTTCCCATGGGACCATTAGTAGAAGTAGCTCCTATCAGAACGGTGCCGTGGGAACTGAAAAATACCCGGTATACGTAATACTGATTGGAGTGTACGGTGAGCGGTGTGTTTTGAATTTGACTTACCTAGTTATCGTCCTACTTGTATGATCATCGGTAGGTACATAACATAAATAAACTACTGGTAAAATTAAATACCAAGTGCAAACGTGTTCAGTCAATCGACCCACTGAACAAATATAGAATTTCCAAGACCCTATTATTCTTTGGCCATAGCCCATATATATTGCGGCACGATCGATTCTTAGATGGCTAAACGACATACGTTAATCTATACAATTCTTAAACTATGAGATAGCACTTTAATCTAGAAATACACTTATTATATTACTCCTGATTTTTACATTTCAATTTTCATGTAAAACATTGTAGCCATAGGTTGATCATGGACACTGACAGCTTAATTTTAGATAATAATGATTTATGAGTTTCTCTAAAGTTAACTCTAAACTAGTGTAGTCCAGTCATTTAAGGACATTTATGGAATTGAACCTGCAAATTTTCGTATACTCACGAAATTTTGCAAAGACCTTCTCAAAAGTATGAATAAACGATTTTCGGTTGGAGACATATTGACCACGCCGATATTGACCCAATAACGTAACCGACCCTTTGCTTCTGAAGGTCGTAGACTTCTAAATAGGCTTAAACGAAGCGGCATATGCATGTTTATATAGGAGTTACTGAGCAACACATGGCCTAAAAAGTAAAATCCTTACTCTTCGAGAAATTTGCCAAAAACCATTTTGGGCGTGGTGCTGAGCCCATTTTCGATAGGATCGTGATAGAGTCTTTAGACAGGGTGCAAAAGAACCGCAATTAGCATATTTATATATGACTTACGAAGAAACAGATGCCTTAAAGTGCTTACTTTTTCAGTTATTGGCGAAAAACTGATTTCCGGTTCCAGAAATCATGCAAAAGTATGGGTATCTTGTAAATTGGGCTATGAAGGCCCTACAGATTTTTGAATGATGGCAAATTGTGCAGAATGGCCATGTTTATATACAACTTATGAAGCAACATGTACCCTAAAACACTTATTTTTCGAGTTATTTAGGGGAGAAACATTGTATTATGTCCATTTTTACCTGTAAAATACAGTCTCACGAGCTCTTCTGTGCGCGCAAGGGACTTTATGACGTCATCGCCAAAATAATACAAACGCTAATTACACGCGTTAGAGAGCAATTAGAGATTTAGGAATTTCGACTCGTTGCTCAGTTTGCTATTTGTCACAATCTGTCAAAATATGAGGATAACTTTTTTTTGAGTTAACTGGTCCTTTAAACTTATGCAATGTGACTCGAAAAAGGAGCGGAAAGAATCACTAATAATTCAGTATATTCCCGCTTTAAATAAAGAACAGTATTTCAAGTAAATTCTGTGAAATTTTTAACCGTACCTCATCGACAAGCTTCTCGAAAACATCCTTGTGAATATTGTAGATATCTCCGTAAGTACCCTTCTTTAACCTTTCTAACAATTCTTTCTCAATCGATTGGTCAAGCTGGGCTGCAGATAGAGCCTTAGCCTCCCTCCTCGATTCTCTCTTCTCCATCTGTGAAGTGACGAGAGTTAAGCTATGGTATGATCTGCTAACTTAAGCGAAGAGTTACAGGTTAAGAGTGAGAAATAAGATACTATTCTAGATACAATAATGAATTGTTGTTTTCTTCTAACTTTAACGACTAAATAACTAACAATACAAGAAGCAACCTCTGACTATTTAGTTGGGAGCCCTGCCCTTAATCGGAATTCGGAACTGACGCCTTGAATTTTATCAACATCATTACGTAAATTCACAAAATTCCTTTGAAGGGCACAGATTTATAAAACAAACAGTGCAGATAAACATATAATAAGTAGACAAACAGGTTTTTGTTCTAAACAAACAAGAAACTGAACCACTTCGCCTCCCCCCCCCCCCCAACAACTGTCAGTATTCTAACCTTCAGATCACGTGACACTAGCTTCTTAACGTTCTTCTTTCTCAACTTTCTCATTCTGATCAGATATTGTACTATTTTCGTGTACCGCTGCTTACATTTGTGCACGGTGAACTGTGGCCAGTATATCAGATGCTTGTCGATCTGAAAAGGAATTGTTTTCGAATAATGCAAAAAAAGATTTAATTGCTCAAATTGATAAGAGCTCTAGGATTAAACAGGGTGTATAAAGTAGGATATGGAATCAAAATATCATCGTGCGGGATAAAATAACGAGATTTATGAAATTAGAAATGAACTTACAAGTTCAAGAGCTTTTTCGTAATTCCTAGGGAGTTTTATTTTTTCCCACATTTCTTTGGGGCTGTGGGCTCTCTCTATCACCTTCATGTACAAATAACAAACTCCTGAAGTTTATTATCACGTGATTCAATGTTTTCATTACAGAACAAGAAACCTCTCGCCTCTAAAAAGATTCAACCATGTCAAGGAATTGAAAGATAAGTTAGTTATATCTGAGCTAGTCAGATCTATGTGATTGTGAGCACAGGGTAGTGTTAACTACACACTACACATAGTGCACAGAATAGTGTACATTGTGCACTATACTGTGCACTATGTATAATACACTGTGCACACAGTTACACTGTTCATGTTGTAAATAAAGACTCACCCTTATCCTCCCGAACAGTGGCGTATTTGCTGTTAGCCAACGGACATGACTGTCTATTGCAGAGACCAGTTACATTGTGCTCATTCTTACAGAATGTCTGTCTCTGTTGCTTTGCTTTCACTTTGTAGGAACAGAAGTTGAGGTTGATGTTCTGCCAGATTAGTTCGTCGTTCTGCATGGCTACTAAAAGATACGGGTAAGTTGGGAATAAGTGCTACTACTACAAAATACGGGTAAGTGGAGAATAAATCTGCAAATGTCAGTTAGAGTAGAACATCAAGCAGATATGTGTTTGAAACAAGTTACATGCTTAAAGTTAAAGAGATTGACATGTTTTTAAAGCAGTACAGGGTGCCCCAGAAGTCACTATACTTGAGTATTTTCTATACTATATTAGTAAACTTGAACGAGATAATTGAACCAATGCTGTGAATAATGATATGGACGGTGCTCACTACTCACCTGCCAAGTAAAATAGGAACCACTCTAGATTATCGTTCAGAAAAAATCACTGACGGGACTATGAAAGAAATCAAAGGCAGTTACGCCGATTATTAAATATCAATGATTTATAATTTAAATATCTCTACATGTACAAAGATCATAGTTGTAAGTTCGTTATAAACACAATCACACTTACAAATAATAATACTATAAATTTGAAATTAAGCAAAAGTAAAACTGTTCATGTCTGTTAAAAAGCAGCCTATAATTATATTCACAGAATTATCCAGTCCATCCCATCTAATATTAAAACACAACCGTGATGAATGATGCCCACTTTTCCAAAAAGTTATGCAGTCTTCCAACATAAAAACAAAATGAAGCCAGGGGCTTCCCCTACAACTCAGGGGCTCCCCCCCCCCCTACAACTCTGGGGCTCCCCCCCCCTACAACTCTGGGGCTCCCCCAACACACAGACAAGCTTCCTTCTGTGAGTTTCTATAAGAATTACAGCCAGCACCGGCCACTACAGCATACAAACCATTTACAGCACTCTGACAAATCTCCTCCGCATTGAACTTACTTCCCGCCATTTTTATCATCTGCTTAGCTACCACACAGATCTCCTTCAAACATTTCCGGAATTTCTTATCACAGCTGTTCCGTTCTTCCTTGCAGGTGCCATAACAAGTATCGTGATGGGAACAGCACTCGTGGACTGACGGTAGAAACCGGGCTAGTTCTTTAGTGAACATTGTAGCGGCAGTTCCGCAACCGTTTGGTTTTGGCACGTAGCCAGGGATAGGAATAGGGTAGCCCCCGTTAGGGCAGGTGTAGGAACAGTCAAACATTGCTCCAAATGCTTCACCGACTGATTTTAGAAACTTGGACATGCCTCCAGCAGCTATGTTGTTAACAAATGGTGAAGCAGGGAGAAGTAGGAAGGTGAAAAAGAGAAGTTTCAGTAGCCATCTCCCCATGATCTTGCTATCTGCCTACATGATAGTGTGTTATCTTATCTGGTTGAATAAATAGTCATGAGCATGCACATTGTTCTAATTATTATGTAGACGTCTAACTCGTCAGTTTTACAATATCATGTCGCATTGAAAAACGTTAAGAAAATAATTAAATAAACAGTGAAACTCCGTAACATACAAAAATCAAGTTTAGTTGAAGATCGTACAAAATCAAATGTTCGAATATCGAACTGATCTACGTCTCAACTCTCAATAATAAATTAACTAATTCAGGGCCACAGAAATTTGTTTTAATAATAATAACCTAAACTTAACAAATTAGCGAACCTTCATGAAGCTTCTGCCACAGTAGAAGATTGGTCCACAACAGCAACACTGGACGCTCTCATAAACCCCGGTTTCTTTATAGATAACCAGGCTGTATCAATGAAATAATCAGCTTGATCAACGTAACTCTTCTCAGGGTCCCACAAAACAAAGGTCTGGCCGTCACCCGCCTTATCAGGGTGAATCGACAAGCTCAGTAAATCCCACGTGTTGTTGAATATCTGGCCGTCTAGCAGTTTATCTTTCTTCAGAGCAACAGCTTGCTCCAGATCGTTTTGACCAAAGTTCTCCGGAAGAGTTGGGTATAGTCGCCGCATTTCAGCCATGTACTCTTGGCTCTGATCGTGACTGAGTTTGTCTTTGGTTTCTTTTTCTGCCACTTGTTCAGCGATACGTTCTTGTGTAGTTAGTGAATGATCCTCTTTCCAAGAGCCACTTGGTTCGGATTCATCAGAGCTGAGGTTTTGGTCTGAGTTATTTTCTTGTGAGACCTCCTTTTCGGAATCCTTCAGAATAGTGTCTTCTTTTATTGACGGTGACTCGTTCAGTTCGTTAGCTTCATTTTCTACTGTTTCTTTGAGTACTAGTTTAGTAGTTGTTTCAGTAGCTGTTTCAGAAGACTCTACAGTCAAATTAGTAGTCTCCCTGACTTCATCACTAGATACTTCTTCATGATTTGTACCTTCAGATTCGCCTACCTCCTTTGCTTTCGCCAATGAAATCTGTAAATCTTTCTTTAGTCCACTTTCAATATCACTTGAAATAAGTCTTGCAGATTCCTTGTCCAAGATGAAGTCCGTCCTGCGCAGTCCCATCCTAATCCAACCGTCCCTGCGAAGACTCGAGAATCCTAACCACACGTGTCGTTCCTTAATCTGTAATTTAAATTATAATTAGAATAATTAAATTAGAATTACACATCAGGGATTAAAACTTAATAATCATGAATCGAATCTAAATTGTCCAATAAGTAATTAACATGGTTGGTGAGCACAGAAGGACAACTTAAAGGAGATAAAAAAGAATCATTAAAATAAATCGAATTATTTATTGCTCCTTAACTTACTTACCCATGGAACAAACCCTGAAGCAAGAGTCCAGTAGGAGGCTCTCTTTAGCTTTATATCCGTACCAAACGCCTCCTTTACCTCCGGACTATTGGCAATGCAAGCAACAGACTGCTTAAAGAAGTCAGCTTGCTGAAGCTGAAAGTTGTACCTCGTTCGCCGATAGTCGAAGAATGTGACACTAAAATAAGCGATGAAAGGAAACGCCCCAACCACGAGTTTACGTCCCCAGTTTAGGGTCAATTGCCTGTAAACGTTCTGACCTTTGAAGAGAAACCATTCGGAAGTAGTTGTTGGAATCTTGGCTTTTGCTTGAGGGATGTATTCGAGGGGTTTCGGTCGGGCAAGAGATTCGATTTGTGAGGTTCTTTTTTTATTCATCACCCTTCAGTTTCATGGTCCAACATCCTGATGAGATATGAGTGTAAGCATACCTTACAAGACATATTTATAACGTACGAAATGTGGCGGTTTTCCGAAAATTTCGCCATATTTTCGGACCGCCAAAATTTCGGTCGTCGTAATAGAATCCGTCGCATTATCTTTTAGCTTATTTCAATGACTGTGCCTTCACTGCTTTATTTTGTTTCTTAAAAGTAATATCAAGTAAAATAAATAAATAAATTCTGGCATCTTGGGACAAATTATCACCACACCAATGACGAATTGAATGTCAAGCAATACAGTTTAAATTTGCATTAAAATACACGTATGTGCTAACATGAAAGTCTTACAGTCTTAATACAGACTAAGTTTGAACATGATTTTGCCGAATTTCAGAAATTTCCTTACTGCTTACTGTCACAAAAAATGATGAAAAATACCCTTATTTTCTGTGACGTCCGAAATTTGACGGTTTTTGTTCAATTTCGCCATATTTTCGGACCGCCAAAATTTCGGTCGTCGCAAATTGGTCCGCCACAAAAAAGTCTTGTAAGGTAATCATTGTATTAGAGAAACGTAATATCTTACAAATGTATTAACGTAAAGAAATTAGTCAGTTTGAATTTTAAATTAAGTTGGAGAATCATTAAAACAACTTCGTTTCGTTTAACTGAGGCACCAGCACAATTACTGAACGTTACTAAAATGTATATCATCAGATATTATGAGATGATGCTCAATCGCAATCTATAATCACATAACCAAACATTGAGTTCTTCGTCAATATATTAATAACTTAATAAACAACTATGCGTCGTATAAGATTTTAAAATTATAAAGATATGACCCGTTACAAATTTGAGGCAAACAAGGATTTAAAAAGTTCGTCTTGTCGACCATCACTCAACGAATCTAATGAAACTGGAGCCATGAAACCCAACAATTTCGAATGCACCTCGTACCTAATCTTCCGGCCTTTGCTCGCTTTTGTATCCACAGCTTTCTTTTTCGTTTTTACCTTTAGCTTTTGAAGTTCTGCCCACTGGCGACCCATAGTGTCAGGATCATTATTGTCGATATTTCCCATCTTTTTGTCGATGATCTCTCGAAGAAGTTGCTGATAGAAATCGTCGTCATTGAAGATATAGGGATGCGAATCTGCTTCTGTGTTTGATTCTCCAAAGAAATGGACAGTGTTACGGTTTTGATTTGTTCGGGTAGTCAATCGTTCTTTGTTTGAGAGGATGTGATCAATTTGATCAAGAACACTGACTTCCTTATTCATGAATGACGACTTCTTTGCCACTGCTTTTGTCTGTTCATACCAGTGCAAAATTGTGTCCGATTTGAATTGTTCAAGCTTTTCACTATTTTCTTTAGCGTGAGACAAATAATAATCAGAATTTTGCTTTCGTTTTCGCTTTTGTTTCTTCGGTGACATTTTTTCTTCGTCTTCTTCACCGTCTTCCTCGTCTGTATCAGATGGGATCTCATCATCGTCCACAGGTTTCTTTCCAGAATGAATAGCCTTCACCTCAGAGTTAGAGCCAATAAGCTGTTCTTGAAGATCTAGAAGCTTGTCCAGGGCACCTTGAACGTTTGTCATGATCTTCTGTCTGTGAGACTGTGACACCTCTCCTGACATGTATTTCACACGTTTTTCTGGGGGCGGCAGTTTTGATATCTCCTGTAAACACGGCTGCAGTTTAAGCCTGAGCTGAACTAATTTGTCCCAACAATTAATCTGGAACTTGACTGAATCTCGTTTTTGTTCTTCCGAAAAGTTATCTCTCTGCTGAACCATCTGAAGTTCATCTTCCCCGTCTTCCTCAGCAACCGCACCACCAGCCGCAGCCACCACATCTTCTTCTTCTGAATCACCGGTCTGGTAGCCCTCACCCGATTCCTCTCCATCCTCTCCATCCTCTCCATCACTGGACACCATGTCATCTTCATCACTCTCACCATCCGTGTCACTGTCATCTGACCCCATCATCTGATCATCTAAACCTTTTGACAAGAAGAGGGCTGCTTCCTCGTCCCCTTCATCTATCTCATCTGTTTTAAAGAGCTCGTCACGTGATATTGGTTTTCCAACATCAGCGTCATCGAGTATGTGGTACGGTCTCGCCTGCGGTAGGTGAATTTGTTAAATAATAATCTTTGATATTGGCGATTGTTCACATAATATTACGAAGGACAATTTTTAGCCATTCTAGAACAAAATTACGAAATATCAACAGAGTCAACTCACGGTAGATTTTGAAGAAATAAAAGCACTTTGATCAGCGAATCCCACGAGCTCCGGGTCAATAGAGGGAGCAGCAGTCGTCAACTTTGATATCTCCTCTAGAAACGACATAACTCAACCTAACAGACATCATTTGTGAAAATGTTGTGAATTTTATTATTAGTTTAAAACTATTTGCAATGAATCTTGAAAAAGAATTTGAGGTAGAGCCCTGAAGTGGGATAAACAATGAATTTTAAAATATATAGTCAAACAATGATTTGTTATCAGATATACAACATACTTTCAAAGTTTTGCATATTATTAACACATAAAATAATTGCTCAAAAACAAACAGATTCAATGCAAAAGCAGAATAACCTGATATCACTAACCGAAAATCATAATTTTTCGCTGGCAATAATAATGTATTTTATACTCAGTCATCTTTTACTATATGCTTTATAATATCTTACAGAAATACCAAAAGAATTTATTAAAAGTTGATTAATTGATAAAGATTTGCAGCGATTTAACCAAACACGGAGAAAAAACAAAATTGACCTGAATTCTGCACCGTCTACACGCAAGCACGGAAAGATTAATTTATAATTGTTAACCAACGTTATTTACTAGTAATCAACATAAAAACTTAACTTAAACGACGAAAAAACACTCCTAAAAAATCAATAGCCAATAAACACAAAGCTACAATTGATTGAAACTTACTTCAGTACTCGGCATACAATGAAGTTAAAAGATTTGCACTTTAAAATTGGCAGCAGTAAAATTCGAATCAATTAAACTACTTGACATTATGTACAATTAAATGTAATAGCTAGATAAAAACAAATTCATAAATTAATTCAAATAAGGACCTTTCTACTTTTTAATTCTCACCATAAACATAAATATCCCCTGATTGTGATCCAGCACAAATAAAGGTTTTTCTGGTTAAAAGATAATAATCAGATGGAATTCAGGAATCTGGGGGGGGGGGGGGGGGGGGGGGGGGGGGGCCAACCATATTAAAGTATATTAAAATGTAGGATTTTTCCCGATTTTGACCCGGGGATATACTTTAATATACTTTAATATACCTACAATATACTTTATTATATCCCTATCTCCTTGGAGGCCTACATCAAAAATTGTTGCCCAAAATAAGCTTGAAATGCAATTCTTAATCGATTCCAAAAAGTTCTTGAAAAAATATTGAAAACTGATGGAGTTATTTCAATTTTAATGAAGTCATTTTGGCTAGTATTCCGAACCGAGATATTATGTGCAATTTTCCCAATTTTGTTCATGGAGGTCTTTATTTACTTAGTATCCACTATATTCAACAAACACTGAGTTATATCTTTCACATAGAATTAGTCTCATTAAAAAATATTGAAATTTTATCGAATTTGGGCAAAAGCGAATTTGGGCAAAAGCGTATGCCCAAATATGGGCATATTTTTTAAAGCTCATAGTTCAGCCAATTTTTGACCAATCTGGATGGAAATTCATGTACTAGTCCTAAAACAGGCTTATCTTACGAATCTGAGTGAAAAATATAGTTCATCATGTAAATCTTAACGAAGAATATAAATCTTCTAATTGTAGGTATATTAAAGTATATTAAAATGTAGGATTTTTCCCGATTTTGACCCGGGGATATACTTTAATATACTTTAATATACCTACAATATACTTTATTATATCCCTATCTCCTTGGAGGCCTACATCAAAAATTGTTGCCCAAAATAAGCTTGAAATGCAATTCTTAATCGATTCCAAAAAGTTCTTGAAAAAATATTGAAAACTGATGGAGTTATTTCAATTTTAATGAAGTCATTTTGGCTAGTATTCCGAACCGAGATATTATGTGCAATTTTCCCAATTTTGTTCATGGAGGTCTTTTTACTTAGTATCCACTATATTCAACAAACACTGAGTTATATCTTTCACATAGAATTAGTCTCATTAAAAAATATTGAAATTTTATCGAATTTGGGCAAAAGCGAATTTGGGCAAAAGCGTATGCCCAAATATGGGCATATTTTTTAAAGCTCATAGCTCAGCCAATTTTTGACCAATCTGGATGGAAATTCATGTACTAGTCCTAAAACAGGCTTATCTTGCGAATCTGAGTGAAAAATATAGTTCATCATGTAAATCTTAACGAAGAATATAAATCTTCTAATTGTAGGTATATTAAAGTATATTAAAATGTAGGATTTTCTCCGATTTTGACCCGGTGATATACTTTAATATACTTTAATATGGTTGCCCCCCCCCCCCCCCCAATCTGTTCAAGTTTAATTCCCTCCATCAAAATATCCCATAAAAAGCGTCAGAATGACTGAATAAGGCGGTAAGAACTTGGAATGATTGCGGAGTTAAGAGGATAGAACAGCAGTGGCTGCGTGCAGCGCCCATCTGACATACTCAAGCTGGGTGAGTATCTCTTGCTTAGTGGCTGTTGGAGACACGGCGTGAAGCAGCCCCGGAAACCCTGAACCTGGGGTAGACGATTATCTGGTTAATAAATATGGTTTTAAAAGTTTAAGAACAGACAGACAATAATTGTCATTTGGTCAATATTATACAATACTGTCAATATTTATTATGGTGCGGTTTCAGAAGAAAAGAAAGTCGCTGACAAAAATCGAAGATAATATACTAGATATCATTTAAGACCACAATATTACACGATACTGTGTGAGTTTTGACTTTTAAAGATAACAATCATATCATAAATATCTTTTAAGGAAATATAACGTATTTTTTTGTTTTTTGTTTTTTCAAAAAATTACTTTTACCTAAACAAAAAAAAACAAAAAAATGTTACCCCCCCCCCCCCCCCCCCTAATATTAATAACGAGCTATTATTATTTATTAACGATTAATTAGATAATAATTAAATATTTATAATACTAAAGAGCTCTCACCCATGTAAAGGTTAGTAGAAGAGGGGGACACTAGAACATTCCTAGAATAGAACATGGTACCAGGTATCTTCTGATCCACAAGGAATGCTCTGTCAAACTGGAGTATCTTATCATTCGCTCTTCTCACTTCAAGCGCTGAACTGTCGGATGACAATTTGTCTGTTACCTCCGACTGTAGAAGTAATTGTTAGTTTATCTGGAACTTTCAAGCCAGACAAGTACGACAGAACTTGAGAACTTAGGTTAAAACTGTTTTAATGATGTCAACTTCCGAGCAACAACAATGAATTATAGGGGGGGTGTCATGTCCGTCTATGTCCGCCTATGTCCTGTCCTTTTTGGATTCTATGAGACAACGGACGTGTTTTTTGGGACATTGGCGGACACGGACGGACATTGGCGGACTTGGACGGACATTGGCGGACTTGGACGGACATTGGCGGACTCGGACGGACATTGGCGGACCCGGACGGACATTGGCGGACTTGGATGGACATTGGTGGACATTAGCGGACATTGGTGGACATTAGCGGACAAACATTTTGAGGACTGAAGAGTACTGAAGAGTACTGAAGAGTACTGAAGAGTACTGAGGAGGATGGCTGAGAAGGATGGCTGAGGAGGATGGCTGAGGAGGATGACTGAGGAGGATGACTGAGGAGGATGACTGAGAGGGAGGAGAAGGAACAGGAAGACCCAGGAGGAGGAGGAGGACCCAGAAGGAGGACCTAGGAGGAGGAGGAGGAGAACTGAGGAGGATGACTGAGGAGGAGGATGACTGAGGAGGAGGAGGACTCAGGATCAGGAGGACTGAGGAGGACTGAGAAGGATGGCTGAGGAGGATGGCTGAGGAGGATGACTGAGAGGGAGGAGGAGGACTGAGGAGGAGGAGGAGAAGGACTGAGGAGGAGAAGGAGGACCCAGGAGGAGGAGGACCCAGGAGGAGGAGGACCCAGGAGGAGGACCCAGGAAAAGGCCCCAGGAGGAGGAGGAGGACTGGGGAGGAGGAGAACTGTTGAGGACTGATGAGGAGGACTGAGGACGAGGAGGAGTAGGAGGAGGACTGAGGAGGGGAGGAGGAAGAGGACTGGGGAGGATCAGGAAGACCCAGGAGGACCCAGGAGGAGGAGGAGGAGGACCCAGGAGGAGGAGGAGGACTGAGGAGGACTGAGGAGGAGGACTGAGGAGGACTGAGGAGGAGGACTGACGATGACTGAGAAGGAGGAGGACTGAGGAGTACTGAGGAGGATGGCTGAGGAGGATGGCTGGGGAGGATGGCTGAGGAGGATGACTGAGGAGGATGACTGAGAGGGAGGAGGAGGAGAACTCAGGAGGAGGACTCAGGAGGAGGACTTAGGAGAAATGAGAAGGAGGACTGAGGAGGAGGAGGAGGAGGACTGAATAGGAGGAGGAGAAGGAGAAGGACTGGGAGAGGACTGGGGAGGAGGAGGACTGAGGAGGATGACTGAGGAGGAGGATGACTGATGAGGAGGAGGACTCAGGATCAGGAGGATCAGGAGGACTGAGGAGGACTGAGACGGAGGAGGACTGAGGAGGATGGCTGAGGAGGATGGCTGAGGAGGATGACTGAGAGGGAGGAGGAGGACTGAGGAAGACCCAGGAGGAGGAGGAGGACCCAGAAGGAGGACCTAGGAGGAGGAGGAGGAGAACTGAGGAGGATGACTGAGGAGGAGGATGACTGAGGAGGAGGAGGACTCAGGATCAGGAGGATTCGATCAGGAGGACTGAGGAGGACTGAGAAGGAGGAGGACTGAGGAGGATGGCTGAGGAGGATGGCTGAGGAGGATGACTTAGAGGGAGGAGGAGGACTGAGGAGGAGGAGGAGAAGGACTGAGGAGGAGAAGGAGGACCCAGGAGGAGGAGGACCCAGGAGGAGGAGGACCCAGGAGGAGGACCCAGGAAAAGGCCCCAGGAGGAGGAGGAGGACTGGGGAGGAGGAGAACTGTTGAGGACTGATGAGGAGGACTGAGGACGAGGAGGAGTAGGAGGAGGACTGAGGAGGGGAGGAGGAAGAGGACTGGGGAGGATCAGGAAGACCCAGGAGGACCCAGGAGGAGGAGGAGGAGGACCCAGGAGGAGGAGGAGGACTGAGGAGGACTGAGGAGGAGGACTGAGGAGGACTGAGGAGGAGGACTGACGATGACTGAGAAGGAGGAGGACTGAGGAGTACTGAGGAGGATGGCTGAGGAGGATGGCTGGGGAGGATGGCTGAGGAGGATGACTGAGAGGGAGGAGGAGGACGACTCAGGAGGAGGACTCAGGAGGAGGACTTAGGAGAAATGAGAAGGAGGACTGAGGAGAACTGAGGAGGAGGAGGAGGAGGACTGAATAGGAGGAGGAGAAGGAGGGGGACTGGGAGAGGACTGGGGAGGAGGAGGACTGATGAGAAGGATGAGGAGGAGGACCCAGGAGGAGGAGGACTGAGGACCGAGGAGGACCGAGGAGGAGGATGAAGAGGAGGAGGAGGACCCAGGAGGAGGAGGACTGAGGAGGATGGCTGAGGAGGATGACTGAGAGGGAAGAGGAGGAGGAGGAGGAGGACTCAGGAGGAGGACTCAGGAGGAGGACTTAGGAGAAATGAGAAGGAGGACTGAGGAGAACTGAGGAGGAGGAGGAGTAGGAGGACTGAATAGGAGGAGGAGAAGGAGGGGACTGGGAGAGGACTGGGGAGGAGGAGGACTGATGAGAAGGATGAGGAGGAGGACCCAGGAGGAGGAGGACTGAGGACCGAGGAGGACCCAGGAGGAGGATGAAGAGGAGGACCCAGGAGGAGGAGGACTGAGGAGGAGGACTGAGGAGGACTGAGGAGGATGACTGAGGAGGATGACTGAGAGGGAAGAGGAGGAGGGGGAGGAGGAGGACTGAGGAGGACTGAGGAGGAGGACTGAGGAGGACTGAGGAGGAGGACTGACGATGACTGAGAAGGAGGAGGACTGAGGAGTACTGAGGAGGATGGCTGAGGAGGATGGCTGGGGAGGATGGCTGAGGAGGATGACTGAGAGGGAGGAGGAGGACGACTCAGGAGGAGGACTCAGGAGGAGGACTTAGGAGAAATGAGAAGGAGGACTGAGGAGAACTGAGGAGGAGGAGGAGGAGGACTGAATAGGAGGAGGAGAAGGAGGGGGACTGGGAGAGGACTGGGGAGGAGGAGGACTGATGAGAAGGATGAGGAGGAGGACCCAGGAGGAGGAGGACTGAGGACCGAGGAGGACCGAGGAGGAGGATGAAGAGGAGGAGGAGGACCCAGGAGGAGGAGGACTGAGGAGGATGGCTGAGGAGGATGACTGAGAGGGAAGAGGAGGAGGAGGAGGAGGACTCAGGAGGAGGACTCAGGAGGAGGACTTAGGAGAAATGAGAAGGAGGACTGAGGAGAACTGAGGAGGAGGAGGAGTAGGAGGACTGAATAGGAGGAGGAGAAGGAGGGGGACTGGGAGAGGACTGGGGAGGAGGAGGACTGATGAGAAGGATGAGGAGGAGGACCCAGGAGGAGGAGGACTGAGGACCGAGGAGGACCGAGGAGGAGGATGAAGAGGAGGAGGAGGACCCAGGAGGAGGAGGACTGAGGAGGATGGCTGAGGAGGATGACTGAGAGGGAAGAGGAGGAGGAGGAGGAGGACTCAGGAGGAGGACTCAGGAGGAGGACTTAGGAGAAATGAGAAGGAGGACTGAGGAGAACTGAGGAGGAGGAGGAGTAGGAGGACTGAATAGGAGGAGGAGAAGGAGGGGACTGGGAGAGGACTGGGGAGGAGGAGGACTGATGAGAAGGATGAGGAGGAGGACCCAGGAGGAGGAGGACTGAGGACCGAGGAGGACCCAGGAGGAGGATGAAGAGGAGGACCCAGGAGGAGGAGGACTGAGGAGGAGGACTGAGGAGGACTGAGGAGGATGACTGAGGAGGATGACTGAGAGGGAAGAGGAGGAGGGGGAGGAGGAGGACTGAGGAGGACTGAGGAGGAGGACTGAGGAGGACTGAGGAGGAGGACTGACGATGACTGAGAAGGAGGAGGACTGAGGAGTACTGAGGAGGATGGCTGAGGAGGATGGCTGGGGAGGATGGCTGAGGAGGATGACTGAGAGGGAGGAGGAGGACGACTCAGGAGGAGGACTCAGGAGGAGGACTTAGGAGAAATGAGAAGGAGGACTGAGGAGAACTGAGGAGGAGGAGGAGGAGGACTGAATAGGAGGAGGAGAAGGAGGGGGACTGGGAGAGGACTGGGGAGGAGGAGGACTGATGAGAAGGATGAGGAGGAGGACCCAGGAGGAGGAGGACTGAGGACCGAGGAGGACCGAGGAGGAGGATGAAGAGGAGGAGGAGGACCCAGGAGGAGGAGGACTGAGGAGGATGGCTGAGGAGGATGACTGAGAGGGAAGAGGAGGAGGAGGAGGAGGACTCAGGAGGAGGACTCAGGAGGAGGACTTAGGAGAAATGAGAAGGAGGACTGAGGAGAACTGAGGAGGAGGAGGAGTAGGAGGACTGAATAGGAGGAGGAGAAGGAGGGGACTGGGAGAGGACTGGGGAGGAGGAGGACTGATGAGAAGGATGAGGAGGAGGACCCAGGAGGAGGAGGACTGAGGACCGAGGAGGACCCAGGAGGAGGATGAAGAGGAGGACCCAGGAGGAGGAGGACTGAGGAGGAGGACTGAGGAGGACTGAGGAGGATGACTGAGGAGGATGAAGGAGAGGGAAGAGGAGGAGGGGGAGGAGGAGGACTCAGGAGGAGGAGGAGGACTGAGGAGGACTGAGAAGGAGGAGGAGGAGGAGGAGGACTGAATAGGAGGAGGAGGAGGGGGACTGGGGGAGGACTGAGGAGGAGGATGGAGGACTGAGGAGAAGGATGAGGAGGAGGACTGAGGAGGAAGAGGAGGAGGATGAAGAGGAGGAGGACCCAGGAGGAGGACCCAGGAGGAGGACTCAGGAGGAGGACTCAGGAGGAGGAGGAGGACTGGGGAGGAGGAGGACTGTTGAGGACTGATGAGGAGGACTGAGGACGAGGAGGAGGAGTAGGAGGACTGAGGAGGGGAGGAGGAAGAGGACTGAGGAAGATCAGGAAGACCCAGGGGAGGAGGAGGAAGAGTAGGAGGAGGAAGCATCTAAATGTTATTTCCATTTTTGTCCGTTTTTGTCCATTTTTGTCCGCTCTATTTTTATGTCCGTTTTGAAAATATAGGGTACCGAACGGACAAAAACATGATCCCCCTATAACAGCAAAAATTGAACATTTTATTTAGCAATTTAGGTGTCCATTAATGTCCGCCTATGTCCGCCTATGTCCGTCTATGTCCGCCTATGTCCTGTCCTTTTTGGATTCTATGAGACAAGCGGACATAGACGGACGTGACACCCCCCCCCCCCCCCCCCCCCATTATAAAAGATACGAAGCTAAAAGACACAACTAAAAGACACAACTAAAAGACACAACTAAAAGACACATTATATACACAACACACCTTGAAAGTGTTAGCGGCTCTCCCCAACTCAAACAAGGTATTATCCAATATGTGAATCAGCTCCTCGTCAATGTCCAGACGAGTGAAGGTCTGTAAGATCTTAGGTTTCAACATATCCCACCATTCTTGTATTCTGTTTCCGTATTCCACAATTCTGCCGGGTACTAGGGCCGGCTCACTTACCCCGACAACTAACTGGAATATCGGGTATTAATAATTAACTTAATACTTAATAATTAATATTATATATATTAATAATTAACTTAATACTATTGAGAACTGACTATAGAAACCTTGGAATAGTCCTACTTATTGATTAAGCGTTTATACCAATTAATTACGTACATTCATAGCAATCATTAGTACCTGCGCTAAACTTGAGGCGACTTTAGCTAAATTCTTGTAATCCTTGTCCACGACCTCAAACAACTGCTGCTCATCGTAGATAGTATGATAAACATCAGCGTACGACTGGCAGTTAACGTTGATCACACTGACCCCCGCGTAACAATAGAACCCGTACATGTCGGACCCACTACCGGACAGATCCAGTCTCTGGAAACCCTCGTTGTTCACAGCACCCAGTACTGTGCCTGGGAGGGTGTTTTAGTTAAGGCGCACTTTATTTGGGGGATACATTTAGAAGAAGTGGAAACTTAGAATCAGTTGTGATGATGTAGATGTTTTTATCTCGATAATTTAATTACTCAGTAGTATAGTTAATATGATACTAATATATTATTATGGTAGTATATAATATAATATTACGTAGTATATAACATTATGTATAGTGTTTGAAAAGCATTAATATAACATTATTATATGTAGCAGGTAAATAATATCACACAGTACCAGTGAGGTTCTGGTAGAGAGGCGAGCCAGTAGCATCCACCCTCAAACACTCTCCCCCCTCCGCAATGTCCGTGTTAATGTAGACCACGCCCCGGTGCTCCAGTAGCGCCCTGTTCAAGAAAACAACAATTTCAAGAAAACAACAATTTTATTTAGTATCAATTAAAGCAGACAAAAATATATTTCATATTATATATATATATAACTAGCACGAACTTTAGATCAAATATCTAGGGGGACAAGAGATTGACTAGAAGGTATATACCTGTTCTCCTCTACCATATATATAACTAGCACGAACTTTAGATCAAATATGTTGGGGGACAAGAGATTGACTAGAAGGTATATACCTGTTCTCCTCTACCATATATAACTAGCACGAACTTCAGATCAAATATGTTGGGGGACAAGAGATTGACTAGAAGGTATATACCTGTTCTCCTCTACCATATATCACTAGCACGAACTTTAGATCAAATATGTTGGGGTACAAGAGATTGACTAGAAGGTATATACCTGTTCTCCTCTACCATATATAACTAGCACGAACTTTAGATCAAATATGTTGGGGGACAAGAGATTGACTAGAAGGTATATACCGGTTCTCCTCTACCCATTCCAGGGAGCCGATCAGACCCCACTCTTCTGCGTCCCACGAGGCTAGCTTTATCGTTCTTCTAGGTCTCCAGCCCTGGAAATAGTGATTATAGGTCTCCAGCCCTGGAAATAGCATAGTTGGTCAGTACGCACTGTACGAACTTTTAAAAGGTGCCGAACTGTACGAATTTTAAAAAGCTGTCGAGGAATTTTTATTGTTCTTCTAGGTCTCCAGCCCTGGAAATAGTGATTAACACTGGACTTTATATCAGTGGGGACGTGTGAATCGTTCTAACATTATTAGTAAGGGGTATATTCAATTATAGTTGACAAGTCATTCGACTTTCGAGAGGGCAAAACGTGCCTCTTACTATTACTAACCTTGTGATATATTATTATTATGAATCAAATCTTAGTGCCCAAGTTCTAACCACCTATTATTTAAGTATTTACACTATCATTACTTACCTTATTGAGAAAGTGTGAGAGGGCCCTGCCAGCCTCTATGACAGCTGCTGTACCACTACTCGGATCTATTGCTCCGTACGTCCATGCGTCTCTATGGTTACCTGGATAATGGGAAACTTGGAGAGGGGAAACACAAAGAAACATTTGGCGGAATAAGTATAATTGTTTTTCCGTTGTTGCATCGGAAATTTGGTGAAATATTTGTAAAATGTAGGATACACGAAAGCATTATTTAAATAAAATAGTAAATCAAAATGTACTGTTCCATTACACTCATCATTGGAATCATTGTAACCTCAACTCACCTAAGATTACCCATCTATCAGGTTCTAAAGATCCAGTGATTGTCCCAATAACGTTCGTTATATTAACTCTTCTAATATCCACATTTACCGTTACCTTTTAATTAGTTGATTAATTAGTTAACTGATCAATTTAAAAGCATTTGGTGAACTCATTTTCTATGCTGGTAGTCGATATCTGCACCTTGGTTATTGCAAAGAAATATAAGAAATAATATATGGAGGAATAAATGAAATAAAAGTCATCAAAATCTTGAGATTCTGGTAAGTACTCCAGATCACACTACTTGACAAAATAACACGTGTTTTACACTTTACTTGTACAGTCCGCGCCATTCCAGATCATTTTACCAACATTCAACAAATCCTCTTAGTCTCACCTCAAGTTGTGGTCCATCTTCAGCCCCAGTTCCGATACCAGATGACGTGTTCCCTAGTAACCCCGTCTGCCACTCCTCTGGTAGCTTTAAACCTGAAGAGAGTGGGAATATTGGATAACTTTAAGAAATTAAATACATCGCATCAAAGGTTATTCCTCCTTTCCATACTGATAATCTGGTTGATAAGCTAATGAAGGTAACTAGGTAGGTAACTAAGGTAACTAAACAGGTGCGAGTAAAATTTGATCGTCTTCCGTTAAACCTATTCCATTAATTTCGTTAAATCATAATCAGAACATAGACTTCAACTCCCTCCACGAGAGGGACTGGAGCTGAAGGAGGAAACCCTTCAACTCCCTCCACGAGAGGGACTGGAGCTGAAGGAGGAAACCCTTCAACTCCCTCCACCTTCTTCATGGTCAGAACTGGAGAAGATTCTGATGGAGACACTGTCTCTCGTGAAGATACAAGCCGTCTCGTCTGCTCAGAACATCGCCGAGATAAAAAATAGTCTGGAAAGATTAGAAGATAGAATCGGAATGTTGGAATATAAAGTTGACTCTCAAAAAGGCTTGATAAAGAAAGTGCAAGGGGATCTTACCACGGTAAACAGTTAACAGTAAAACATCAGACAAGTTGATTGATTAGGCGGTTGTTAATTAGCCGCGTAGAACATGTTGAATGTTAATTATTTTTACCACCAACTTGATTGTTGATGAAATAAATACTTAATAATAGTTAATTTATTTCTCTGTAACCATAACCTCACCAGGTAAAGGGTAGACAACAACAAATGACATCTGAAGTACGGCTCATCTCTCTCTACAAGATGGTGGATCAGACCAGCTATGCGGACGCTGGCCGTGATGCTGACCTCATCGTGGATGGACAGTTCATATTTGACAAACGTGCCATTGAAAGCATACAGACGTACCCGAAAACTAATAATTATAGCCCCAACAACAAACTGACCATTCATCTCGGCGGACTTTTCCGCATCCACCGAGTAAAAGTCTGGAACGTAAGATTTTGCTGCCAGGAGCAATTCGTTGGAACTCGGATTTTTGCTGACGTTCAAATGATAGGTGTAGCAATAAGTGCTAAACCCATTTACCAGTTCGATGTACCGGAGAGTGACCCGACTTATGCCAGAGAGATAGTTCTACACCAGAAACTTGCTAAACACTTACATATCCTTGAAGTTCAGGTCTGGGGCTCAGGACCTTATGATCCGGAAGACCTTTTCGCTTAGGCTGTAAATGATTATAGTCCTCTCCAGTTTGTATGTGTAATGTAATCTTAGTCTTTGGTTTATTTTTATAAAGAATTATACTTCTACCATCACTTTTATGACTTATCTGCATTTTGAGTTACTTTGAAAAATATCTCCACAGACCACGTTTCAAGTGATTACCTTACTCGGGAATATTATAGCGGGTTAATTTATGACTGGGAAAATTAATGACCGGGAAAAATATGGCGGACTTTCCCAAAACCCGCCAAATTATCCCGGTCATGTATTTACCGGTGGCCGACCTTTCAAGTTTTTTTTCAGAGGTCAACAAATTTTCAACCGAAATTTCTGTTTTTGTTACTTGTTAAAGAAGTTATTTCAATTTACAGTTATTGATATTACTCAGAAATAGAAAAAAAAGACACGTCTATTTTATAAAGGAAAATAAATCTAAGCAATAATAAGTCAAATCTTCATTAAAGCGTATTCTCATTCTCATTATCGCTAATGTCCCCGCCATTATCATTATTGATATCCCCCTGAGCTGCTGACCATCAAATTCGAAGTTGTATTGTTGTCTTAACAAGACTTTCATTTTGTCCGCTAATGGGGCTACTGCTCTGAAGGTCAGCCGGAGCTTAATTTCCTGCCCACCGCTTGGTATTGGGGAACGTCTTGGCTTTGCATCTTCAACTGCTCCAGTAATCAATCCACCGTGGACCATGAAATAGTGGCACAGTTTACTCACTTCTAACGGGATGTGGCCACAAGTTACTTTAACGGGAAAAACTCCCTCTTTCTTTAGTCTACACACTGCACACGAGAAGCGATCACTATTTAGAGACATTATTATTATAATATATATATATTTTTTTTAAATCAATAAACTTTCAAATTGTTACACAAATACATCATTTTATTTCAAAGAAAATATCGCCGAATGACCTTACATGCCTTGACAAGTGACCGAGTGTAAACAAAATAAGGGACACCGAAACACCAGTTGACCAGTAAACTGATCATAGCAATTACATCGGGCCCTAAATGCACCTATAAGTGAAGCGATGCTGCAACCAAGGCCAGGCATGCTAGGTTTATTCCATTGAACTAATTTAAAGGTTACAGCCTAAAATATAAATATAATAAATAACAATGTACCATAAATCATAATTATAAACACACTTTATTTAACATATTTTATTAATTATACTTTTTATCAATTTATATTTAGACAATATAGTTACATTAAGGTAAATTGTTTAACTGTCAGAGGATGTTATATGGTCGTTTAGAACTGTCCAGAGGTACTTAATTAAATGGGTTTTAAACACGGATGGCCTTGAGATTTCCCTTAATTCATAAGGGAGTTTATTCCAAAGAATGTGTGCTCTGTAAAAGTAAGACTTAGATATGCCTGAACATCTGGTCTGGCTTGACGTAAGGTTTTGTGGAACTTGAGGAGAAATGTCACTAATCATACTGAGATCGTCTAATCGTCTAATGTTATATATTATTATTATTTTCGTTTTCTTCTATAACATATAAATTGTTTTCTTCTCTACAATTCACTGATTCATGGGCAAGAGAAGTGAGAATCATGGTCCACCCTGAAATCTGATTTCTATAACCAAATTGTGATTTTTATAACGAAATTATGGTAGCAACCGCCAATAAAGTTACAGCCCTCCATCCACTGCTTCAAAAGTCTTCTCTAGCACATATGAGACTTCAGGTAAAATATGATGATCACCACCCCCTTGGAACCCCATAATCTGAGTCGGCGGGTTTTTTTATGACTGGTAAAATTTTTGACCGGGAAAAATATGGCGGAATCTTCCAAAACCCACCACTTTATCCCGGTTATAATATTCCCGAGTAAGGTAAACGTAATTTCAAAAATGCGTGTGTGATATTCTTTTAATTGAAATTTGAGCAGTGCAATGACATTGTGACATCATTGTGACATCTTGAAATCTCTTGTTTAATCAGAAAATACTGTTTAACTAGATTAAATATTACTAATATATGACAGAATATGCAAATGATCAAACTCCCTAAAAATTGTAACATACAGGAAATTCATACTTTAATTCAAAGATGTATTAACCCTGCATTATATTAATTAACCATGCATTATATTAATTAACCCTGCATTGATCTCCACAACTAACCTGTGTTCACTGACAAGGCTCGGAGCAGCACCATAGCATCGTCTCCAGTTATAGGCTGTGATATGATAGCAGCTGAATACAACTCTCCGTCTGCTTTAATGAAACTGTTCTCCACTGAGGGCCAGCCGAGTGTGTCTGTGTCTCCGTCTGAGCTGAAAGGAAATGTAGGGAATGTAGAAAATGTAAGAAATGCAGACTGAAGATGTGATCGTAGAAGAAAATATCCGGATATTATCTAGTAGACAGTTTTGTAGAACAGAACAGACACAAGGGTAAATATCTGTTCCCAAATCTAAATTATAATCCGATTATCATATTATAAACCTGAAATATAAGAAATAAAACTCACAGGCCGACAGTGCCCCGCTCCCCGGAGGAACTAGGGGCGAACTCAGACAGAGGGAACCGTTCCTTGTTTCCAGGGTCAGCTAGATCCTTGAACAGGACAATTGCCAGGGCTCCAGCTTCAGCTGCATTCTGCACTTTGTTCCCACGGAATATTCCTCCGTATCGTGCTAGAACTACCTATAGGGAGGGTAGTGTTGGAGGATAATAATATGTTATAATAATGTAGGACGGAGCGTATTATGTAAATATTAGGTATAATATTATGTATTATATGTATATACATCAATGCATGTATAAAACTTTATGTTGGTGCCAAATCGTGTGCTCAGTATTTTACTTCTGCTATTATTATCAACTTTCATGATTAACATAAAACTGAGTTCAGCCAAAATTTCAAACTAAATACCCGCAATGTTTTCACTGACCTTGCCCTCTATAGTGATGTTTTGATCTTGCAGCACCTTAAAATCAGACTTAGAAGCATAGTTAGCGTAAACAACAGGCCCCTTCACAGTTCCTGGCTTAGAGTGAGCGTTAAACAGGGGTGTGGTGGGATTATACTTCTCAAACTCGGTCAATGGCTTCTCTATCCTTCTACAAGTGTGCCTCACAACACCTGACGAATCAAACAGTTTTACTACATTCGGCTTGTTTTTGTCTGGATATGGTAACCGGATTGAATAGTTTTTTAACTCGACACTGTCAAAGGCAAAGTCGTGGAATTTTTTGGCGATGTACTGGGCAAGTTCGTAGTTTCTGGGCGTGCCAGCGAGATGAGTATGCTTTGTAAGTTCAATGTGATACTCCCTTATCTTGGCGGGGTCTATAACGCTGGCTATATTGTCTATCTTGTGTTCTGAGGCTGGTTTACCGAAGCTGACTATCAAAATGTGAGAGAAAAAGCCAGACGAGAAAATAGCGACAATAGAAAAGACTATGACGCAGAGTTTGATGTAGTTGAAAGAAGGGGACTGTCGTCGGGAGCCAGACAGGAGGAGGTCTTCGTCGTCATAGTCGTCACTGACGGACTGAACAAGGTGACCGTCTCCCCTGGACGACTGGAGGTTGTACAGTCGTCTCCTGTCACCCATACCTAAAGGTGGGTTGGTGGGGTTAGTGGGGTCTATTGTCACTCATACTTAAAGGTGAAGTTAGTGGGGGTCTCCTATCACACATACTTAAAAGCGAGGTGGTGAGTATATAAGGCACTAACTGAAGCTCAAATACAATTCCTTTAAGAAGAAAAACGAATCAGAATAGGGATCAAGATCGATGCGAATTTCTAAAATTGCGGAAACTGGAGAGTGGAGAATCACTCAAGAGTTGAGTAATTGAATAAAAACTGTCAAAAAGGGAAGCAAGAAGCGATTAAGTTCCCTACAAACTTAGATCTTCTTGCATATCACTCCATCAATTCTAATCGACTTCCATTTTCTTAGCAATTTTCTTTTTCTCCTTTGATTCCTGTTTTAACCTCTTTCTTTTAACAGCCTCTGCAGACGGTGTCACATCTTCAATTCGCACTACCAATTCTGGCAATTTATCCATATTAACAAACGGTAAGGTGGGTGAAACTAGCACACTGAATGTTACATCTGTGTCAGCAGGTATCCCTGCTATAGCAACCTTCTTCCTGCCCAGACAAGATGATAGATATAAAGAGACTTGTCCCTTGACCAGTGGAACCTCTCTCAACCCACACAAATATAATATGTGATCGAATATCCTCGTCGGGATCAAACTTTCTTCCACAAAAACAGCCTGAAATTTGAAATCTTTTTCGAACAGTTTCGTTACACAGTTGATACTGAAAATAAGTTCACGATCCTTTTCCAGGCGATGCCCAAAGTTACGTTTACCTCTGTTTTCATTCAAAGATGAGTCTACAACACAGGCTGCACCGTATTTCTGACAAATGTGATGTTTTATAACTAAAAGTGAAGATTCTATGGCAGTTTCAGAATGCCTCGGCCACCGAATCTTAAAAGGATTATCCAGCACATGTCTCTCAGGCTTCTTAGCTTGTTTTTGAGCGAGAGATTTCCTTCTGGATTTATTGGTGAGAGGAGTGTTGTTTGCTGACATGGTGAACCAGATTACATCACATTAGCCTGAGAGAGATGTTCAGACTCAAAATAAAGGCATGGAAAATGGAAACAGCAATCTTGGATTAAATATGAAATTACAAGAGACAAAGGTAATATTGAGTAATATGATCAAGACTCGACCTGCAATGAAATTAAAAAGGTTGAGATTTAATGTCTCTATAAGATCCCACCCATACTAGACGCTAGGCAATCAAACACGATTTATCTTAAAAGTATACAATAGCAGGGACTTTTTAATCAATACGTTCAGTCATAAATTAATGAATATGAATAGATAAACGAATAAATAAACAAATGAATATGTCACTTAAATTACATACAGCACCAGTTCTTCGCGCACGTCATATTATATGCGACTCAATCTTATGACTTCGTGTGACAAAAAGAAAAGCTGAATGTCTCGCTTATCTGTACACTGAAATTCGTACACAATAACACACGATAACAGAGCTAGAGCTGTCTAAATCTGTATCCTTTGTACCTGAACTGTAGTTATAAATATAATTAAGAGCCTTTTGTTACCGTCATGATTTAGTATCAAACATTTCCATTGTGTTACACGACAGTTTGAGCAGCTCCAGGATCGAGCCGACAGATACTCGGAGACATCTGAGTTCGGATGAGGATATTGTCACCTGTAACACTGGTCCGCTCACCTTCAGGTCACGTGTTACGCCTGGTTTGGTATTTTTAATATTTTTTTATTTTAAAAAAAAATATTTTATTTACAAAAGCATAATAAATTACTTAAATCATTGCTACGCAAATACTATAGCTAGCAAGTATCACAGTTTAAATGAATATGTACCTACTATTAATCAATGTACCTACAATTAATGTTAATGCTATTTTGAAATTTCCATGATCACAAATACTTCAAAACAAGTCTAAAAAAGAAAAGACCATGCGTCTCTTTCTGGAAAACCATGACGTGTCAAATGAAATACCTGATTTTCTGGGTTCCTTGTCGGCAGCAACACTTCTCATAGCTATAGTGGCTAGTCGTTCCGAGGGAAAGGGTAAAGAAATACTGCAACTGTATGGAACCATTCTGCTTATAAAGTATAGGGTATTAGAAATACTACAACTGTATGGAACCATCCTGCTTATAAAGTATAGGGTATTAGAAATACTGCAACTGTATGGAACCATTCTGCTTATAAAGTAAAGGGTATTAGAAATACTACAACTGTATGGAACCATTCTGCTTATAAAGTATAGGGTATTAGAAGTTGCACGTCATGATTCTGTTAAAGATACTGCAACTGTATGGAACCATTCTGCTTATAAAGTATAGGGTAAAGAAATACTGCAACTGTATGGAACCATTCTGCTTATAAAGTATAGGGTATTAGAAATACTGCAACTGTATGGAACCATTCTGCTTATAAAGTGAAGGGTATTAGAAATACTACAACTGTATGGAACCATTCTGCTTATAAAGTATAGGGTATTAGAAGTTGCACGACAAAGAAATACTGCAACTGTATGGAACCATTCTGCTTATAAAGTATAGGGTATTAGAAATACTGCAACTGTATGGAACCATTCTGCTTATAAAGTATAGGGTATTAGAAATACTGCAACTGTATGGAACCATTCTGCTTATAAAGTAAAGGGTATTAGAAATACTACAACTGTATGGAACCATTCTGCTTATAAAGTATAGGGTATTAGAAGTTGCACGTCATGATTCTGTTAAAGATACTGCAACTGTATGGAACCATTCTGCTTATAAAGTATAGGGTAAAGAAATACTGCAACTGTATGGAACCATTCTGCTTATAAAGTAAAGGGTATTAGAAATACTACAACTGTATGGAACCATTCTGCTTATAAAGTATAGGGTATTAGAAGTTGCACGTCATGATTCTGTTAAAGATACTGCAATTGTATGGAACCATTCTGCTTATAAAGTATAGGGTAAAGAAATACTGCAACTGTATGGAACCATTCTGCTTATAAAGTATAGGGTATTAGAAATACTGCAACTGTATGGAACCATTCTGCTTATAAAGTAAAGGGTATTAGAAATACTACAACTGTATGGAACCATTCTGCTTATAAAGTATAGGGTATTAGAAATACTACAACTGTATGGAACCATTCTGCTTATAAAGTATAGGGTATTAGAAGTTGCACGACAAAGAAATACTGCAACTGTATGGAACCATTCTGCTTATAAAGTATAGGGTATTAGAAATACTGCAACTGTATGGAACCATTCTGCTTATAAAGTATAGGGTATTAGAAATACTGCAACTGTATGGAACCATTCTGCTTATAAAGTATAGGGTATTAGAAATACTACAACTGTATGGAACCATTCTGCTTATAAAGTAAAGGGTATTAGAAATACTACAACTGTATGGAACCATTCTGCTTATAAAGTATAGGGTATTAGAAGTTGCACGACAAAGAAATACTGCAACTGTATGGAACCATCCTGCTTATAAAGTATAGGGTATTAGAAATAATGCAACTGTATGGAACCATTCTGCTTATAAAGTATAGGGTAAAGAAATACTGCAACTGTATGGAACCATTCTGCTTATAAAGTATAGGGTATTAGAAATACTGCAACTGTATGGAACCATTCTGCTTATAAAGTAAAGGGTATTAGAAATACTACAACTGTATGGAACCATTCTGCTTATAAAGTATAGGGTATTAGAAGTTGCACGACAAAGAAATACTGCAACTGTATGGAACCATTCTGCTTATAAAGTATAGGGTATTAGAAATACTGCAACTGTATGGAACCATTCTGCTTATAAAGTAAAGGGTATTAGAAATACTGCAACTGTATGGAACCATTCTGCTTATAAAGTATAGGGTATTAGAAATACTGCAACTGTATGGAACCATTCTGCTTATAAAGTATAGGGTAAAGAAATACTGCAACTGTATGGAACCATTCTGCTTATAAAGTATAGGGTATTAGAAATACTGCAACTGTATGGAACCATTCTGCTTATAAAGTAAAGGGTATTAGAAATACTGCAACTGTATGGAACCATTCTGCTTATAAAGTATAGGGTAAAGAAATACTGCAACTGTATGGAACCATTCTGCTTATAAAGTATAGGGTATTAGAAATACTGCAACTGTATGGAACCATTCTGCTTATAAAGTATAGGGTAAAGAAATACTGCAACTGTATGGAACCATTCTGCTTATAAAGTATAGGGTATTAGAAATACTGCAACTGTATGGAACCATTCTGCTTATAAAGTAAAGGGTATTAGAAATACTGCAACTGTATGGAACCATTCTGCTTATAAAGTATAGGGTAAAGAAATACTGCAACTGTATGGAACCATTCTGCTTATAAAGTATAGGGTATTAGAAATACTGCAATTGTATGGAACCATTCTGCTTATAAAGTATAGGGTATTAGAAATACTGCAACTGTATGGAACCATCCTGCTTATAAAGTAAAGGGTATTAGAAATACTGCAACTGTATGGAACCATTCTGCTTATAAAGTATAGGGTATTAGAAATACTGCAACTGTATGGAACCATTCTGCTTATAAAGTATAGGGTAAAGAAATACTGCAACTGTATGGAACCATTCTGCTTATAAAGTAAAGGGTAAAGAAATACTGCAACTGTATGGAACCATTCTGCTTATAAAGTATAGGGTATTAGAAATACTGCAATTGTATGGAACCATTCTGCTTATAAAGTATAGGGTATTAGAAATACTGCAACTGTATGGAACCATCCTGCTTATAAAGTAAAGGGTATTAGAAATACTGCAACTGTATGGAACCATTCTGCTTATAAAGTATAGGGTATTAGAAATACTGCAACTGTATGGAACCATTCTGCTTATAAAGTATAGGGTATTAGAAATACTACAACTGTATGGAACCATTCTGCTTATAAAGTATAGGGTATTAGAAATACTGCAACTGTATGGAACCATTCTGCTTATTAAGTAAAGGGTATTAGAAGTTGCACGACATGGTTCTGTTAA